CCGGGTCGTTTGGTGCTGGGCGGGAGGCCCGGGGCCGTTGTTTCGGTGTTGCAGGCGCTCTTCTGCGTGCGGAAGGGTTTAGAGCCTCTAAGAGCCGAGTTAAACATGACGAGAGCTGAAAAACGCCTTGGCTTGTTCCGCTGGAAAGTGTGGTTCTCAAAGAAATTGTTTATTTAAAGCTTTGAAACCACTTGTCCATATTCTAATCTTTAAACTCACTTGGAAAGACATAATTATTTCAAGCGTTCTAAGCTGTCCAATACATTGGCATTGCTCTAGTGTAATTTTTGTTTGTTTGTTTGGTGAAAAATCAAACTCTAGAATGCTAGATGACACAGTTTTTGCCTAAGTACGTAGGTGACTATCATGGTTTAACCCCAGCTGGCAGCAACACACCACGCAGCCGTTCACTCACACCCCGGACCCACCGGTGGGGTGGGGAGGAGAATCGAGAAAAAACCGCTAAAACTCATGGGCTGAGATAAAGACAGTTCAACAGGGCAGCAAAGGAAGAGAAGAGAATAATAATATAATATACAAAACGAGCGATGGGCAGTGCAGTTGCTCATGACCCGGTGACTGGCCTGTCCCCGCACAGTGCTCCCGCCCCCAACCAGCTCCCCCAGTTTATATACTGGGCATGGCGCCGTACGGTATGGAACATCCCTCTGGCCGGCTGGGTCAGCTGTGCTGGCTGTGCTCCTGCCCTGCTTCGGTTGGCAGAGCATGGGCAGCTGGAGAGTCGTTGGCTTAGGATAAGCATTACTTAGCAACAACCAGACCCATCAGCGTGTTATCAATGTTATTCTCAGGCTAAATCCAAAACACAGCACTGTACTGGCTACGAGGAAGAAAATTAACTCTGTCCCAGCCAAAACCAGGACAGCGGCACGTTCTCTGGAGCCAAAGATGTTACCCTTTCGCTTGCTGTTTAAGCTGTGATCTTGCTGCTGAGTGGGTGTTGCTCAGCTGCAGGGACAGTGCTCTTGTTTTAACTGTGGCTCTGCCCAGGCAGTGGGGATGTGGTTCAGTATGCTTGTAAGGAGCCTTGTGATCTGGGCTCTGAACAAGAATGTAACTTTTTAGTGCCAGTTCACAGAAATTGTACCAGAAAACCCCAAGAAATTAAAAGCTCTGGTAACCTGCAGTTTTCATTTTTTGTTAATATCTAAACTTCTTAAACAGTGCACGTAATCATTTCTTTTGAATTACTTGAAGGTTTGACTTACAGCTAATTTCAGAAAGTTCACTGAAGTACTTCTGATCTTAAAGATGCTGTTGTAGAATAACATACTGGTTTGCAAGCACGTGGGAAACTGGCAGGGGAAAGGAAGGCAGTGTTGTGGGCTCACCCTGTGTGCCGTATCTGGATGAGCCCTGAGGGATTCTGCCACATAAGCACCGAAAATATTCTGTTGGCAGGAGGTCTTTTGATTGCCTCTCCGGGCTGTAATGTCAGGCGGTAGACGGCAAGCACTAAGAGAGACTGCAAAGGCAGAGTTCAGCTCAGCTCTTCAGGAACCAGATTTAAATATCAAGCTGCCGCATTAAACAGCGTCCCCAGATGCTTTTTGTTGTCCTGGAAGATGTCAGTGGCCTCTCGGAAAGGGACAGGGGTGAGAGTATAGCGCCATGTTACAGGTTGCTTCCGAGGCAGCTGGCTCTGGGGTGTTCCCTCGAGGCTTGGCGTTCCGGTGGTGTCTAAATGGCTTTGCACAAATGTGTTTTCAGCCACTGTGTGTAAGTGTGTTACAGGGAGGCTGTAGCCTCTTCCATGATGCTTTAGGTTGATTGACCTTGTAAAATGCATCCTGTGCTGCTTTTGTTTTTCTGTTTGCTGAAGACAGAAGCGAGTCATCACGATGCCAGTGTTGCCCCTGGATGAACTCCAGCTGACAGAAAGGGACCCCAAGACAGGGAAGCTGAGAACTTTACCGGCACTGGTGAGCTGTGTTTCTCCCGAAAGCCAAACAAGACCTTTAGTAAAGAATTGTCTTATGTTGAGACCTGGGCAAAACTACCCCTTGGTCCAGGATAAGATGAAGCTTGGTTAGCTTACCTGTTAAAGAAATGTTCTTTGTGTTTACTGCATTCGGATATTTGAGATTTCATTTACCACCATCGAAAAAAAACAAAAAATCTTACTGTGTTCAACATCTGTAATAAACTGTGTTCTCCCAGAACTACTTATTGTTTCGAGGAACAGCCCAATTAGTAATGTAAACTCTGCTGCAGTAGAGAGAATGCTTTGGGAGCTTTTGCAAGCGCTGCATGAAGTTTAGCTCTGAGCTATAGCACTGGGAGAAGTCCATCCGTTCACTGCATCCTGTGGCTTCAGCTTGGTGAAATCAGAAAATTAAATCCATAGTAACCCTTTTCTCCGCGAAATAAGAAGGCATGGCGAGAGCCTGCTGGGCGTGTTGCAGAAGTGGGCCCCGCTGTTAGTGCTGCTTGCTCGTGAGGAGGTTCACCCTGGGCATACGTGTGGGTCGAGGCAGAGCTCGAAGCAGTGGCTTGCTGCTCAGCACGATTCTCATTCTAGGGCGGGAGTATTTGGGCAGAGCCTGTCCAGTAACCTTGGGGAGGGGCAGTGAAATGTTTCTGCTCTGTATTTGGTGGTCATGTTGGTTTGACTTCATGGAATGTTGTGCAAGAACTGGTTCGGAGGAAAAAGAGAGAGTGGGGCCATGTTTCAAAGGCATGACGTTAAGCTGTTGCATTTGTTTCAGAGGTGGGGGAGGACAGCTTTGCAAGGCTGCTGGTTAATAGAATGCAAGGAGCAATGTCTACTGAATTATGAAAGTCTGAAAATATTGCAGCTAAATAAGAATACAAACCCAGTGATCTGTTGCCTTGAACGATTAGAAAATGGGAAGCTACCAGGGAGCTGAATGTTACATTGTGTTAAAGTGTAATTTTGTGTTGGTTTCCTAAGGCTCAGCAGGCAGTGCCAATTTTAACTTGGAATTCCTGTCACTTGGTGTCTAGTTTTAACGCAGTGTTTTGGCTTTCTGCAGCACCCAGAAATAAAAGCAGATCGGTCTTTTGTGCTATACAGACCGCCACCGGTTGTCAGAGACCCTGCTTTAGTGGAAGAATTCTTGGAGCGAGCAAAATTCATTGCAGATGACCTGAACTGGCTTCTGGCTTTGCCTCATGACAAGTTTTGGTGCCAGGTAATGATTGTATGTGGACACTGAAGAAAAAGCATGAACAATCGAGGTGCTGCTTAAAGCCACGAACTTTAAATCATTTTTGTAAAGACTTGCATGTGCTCGTTATGTCATTTGTCAAGTCTGTTAATTACTGCACTCTCTGAGTGCAGAGAAAGTAGTACTTCCCTATAAATTTTTCGTTGTGGATTTTAAGAGTTTGCTTGTTTTTGATGTATATGTGAATCCTTTTAGTACTCTTGAATGTTTTAGCTTGCTTTTAAATTGAAGTGGGCTGCCTGTAAGCACAAGCCGTGAATGCGTGACGTTCTCTTCTTTCCGTTTGCTTGTCACTTGTTGTGCAAGGTAATATTTGATGAGACGCTTCAGAAGTGCCTGGATTCCTACCTGTGCTATGCCCCTCGCAAGTTTGATGCGTTGTTGGATTGCCATCCGGACGTGAATGACATGCAGAAATGTCTTCATCGGAGTGTCTTCCTGACTTTCCTCAGAATGTCCACTCACAAGGAGTCCAAGGTAAAAATTTTTTTGCCTTGCAAGTGCTCTGGGCTGGATAGCTTAGGGAAAAGACAATCGGAGAAATTAATCATGGTTCTTACTTGCATGTCCAGCTGCGTTTCTCTCCCTGGCTATTTTTATCAGGCTGTTTCTCCATACGGAGGTGATGCTTCAGCTCTGAGTGGTTACCTGAACTATGCAGTGATTTCTCAGGGAGGAGATCCAGGCAATCAACTAAGTAATAGCGGGCTAGTCACGTGTGGTGGCATGATAAGTTGCTGTAGGAGAGAAAAGAGCAAGCTGGCCTTGGTGCGGCCATGTGGAACGAAGGCTCTGCAGGCCCACAGTAGCCGAGCGTTAACTCCCTCAGTGCCACTTCCTCTGGCCATGCAGGAAGCTGCACGAATACCTGTCTCTCCTTGAACTTTACCCAAGTTTTGGACACACAGTGAAATAGCTCTGAATTACTGGGGTTTTGGCATGAGGATTGAAAGATGTACTCAGCCCTAATTGTGTGAGTGTAACTCCTATCAGCAGCTGAGGAATTTTCACAAGGCCTTTGGGGAGGATGAGGCACCTCGTGTTTTAGCAATTACTCCCTTGATGTCCTCATTGGTTCATGATGTGTTATTTAGCGATGCACTGATTCTCCTGGTTACTGCAGTGGTGACATTCAGGACATTTGGAGGAGAGGTCTTGGAGCGGGAGCTGGAGGACTGGGGCAGGAACAGGTAGAAGGAATGCTGGAGCCTGCAGCTGGCACCACTTCAGCAAGAATATGACACCTCTATGGTGTCTTTCATTCCAGGATCTGATTAAATCTTACCACTCCACTGAGGCAGGCAAGCATTTGAAACCATTTTATAGTTGAGTAATTTGAAGAGAATGAATAGTCTATTGTCCCGCAGGCAGTCAGCAGGAGTTCTAGAAATTGAACCTAGCCAGCGTAAAGCCCTGTCCCTCCGCTTTAGCAGCGGGAGTGTGTGTGCTGCCTTTCGCCGTGATTGAAAACATTTGCTGTCGTAGGCAAATTTGTCTTCTGGAAATCCAAAATCATGTTCTAGCTTGCTTGCTTCTTGGTGTCAAAGACAATGGAGTTTTTGTCACCTAGAATTTGAGAAGAAATTCTTTCAATGTTATGAGTCCTGTGCTTTTGACACAGTGTTCTAGCAGTCAGGGGATAGAGCTGCAGTGCCTGGGTTTTATTCCTACTTGTCGCTGATGCAGTTGTCTTTGGTGCCTTGATTCTACTCTGCCAGGGTACCAGTAACCTCAGGCTGCGATCTCGCGTATGCTGTCAGTGTCAGTTAAGTTGTTCTTCCTGCTACCAAGCTGAGCTGTTCTTGTGTCAGCTCAGCTGCTTATTTGCCCATGTGGTGAGCCAGGGCTGGGAACCGAATGAATTGGAGGTACGTTTTTGTTGTAACTTTTAGGTCACTTTGTTCACTTCGTGGTGCAGCCTGGCCCTGTGACGGGTGGCGCGAGGCCGGTGGGGTAGCAGGGACCAGCATCTGGGAGCGTGGGGATGGAGGGCTCTGCAGAAGCTGGTGTAAGCAGACTTGCTGCCTTGTACGAAACAAAATCCTTAACACATGCTGGAGAGAGGTTTTTACGGGTGTCGTCATAATGCTGGAGTTCTTGCAGAGTAAGATATCGATTATCCTTTAAATTACTTCTTTTTTTTTTTTTTGTTCTTCTTTGCAGCAGCATTTTATCACTCCCTCTGTCTTTGGAGAAATTATTTACAATAACTTCCTGTTCGACATCCCGAAGATTCTGGATCTCTGTGTGCTTTTTGGAAAGGGAAATGGTCTCCTGCTCCAGAAGATGATTGGTTAGTGAGGCAAGGAACAGCTTGTTGCGGTTAGGCTTTTGCTACTCCTGTAATGGCAAGTGGTGAGCAGGGTTTTATACCCATGTTACTGCTCTGAAAACAAATTGTTCAGTGGCAACTAGAATCTATAATTTCTAGATCAAGTTCTAGATTGGATTATTTTTTCTTTTTTTCTTGTGAACTTCATTTATGTCAAGGAATGTGGCCTGCTGCTGAGCTGTGCTGAGCTGGGCTTGTGGTGTCAGGCGTGAACCAAGGCTCAGTTATGCCTCAGCATAACATTTCCCTCGGCCACTGTAAGAGGACCGTGAGGGCTCTGTAAAATCCTAGTACGGGTGGGAAGGGGCGAACAACTCAGTTCCTGGGCAGGGCCGGAGGAGGGTTGGGAGAAGGGGAACAGTCCAAGCACTCATAGGTGTGCTTCTGTTCCCAGAGCTGGGGGCCGAGTCAAACGTGCAACATGAGGTAATTGCTGGTCTGTGAATTGGGCGAACTTGAAATTTCAGTGCAGACATTGATTTATATAGGCCTTCAAACCACAGAGCCCTTCAGAGCGTTGCTCAAGCTGTGCTTATCCCGAGATTTCTCCGTATCTGTACAGACAGTCTTAGTGGCAAGTGCATATTAAGCAACATCTCGGCCTTGGATGCTAGAGCCTGCGCAATGGAGAGGAGGCGTATTGGTTTAGCTTCTGTGTTTATCCTGTGCCCTTTTCACAAGGAAATTACCTGTAGTCTTTAACATCCACCACAGATGGAAAAGCACCTAACCTGGGATGAAGTGAGCTCTTCTTCCAAAATTCTAACCCACTTTGTCTGCAGTTCGTGTAATGAAACTTTTTCCTTTCTTTGGTAGTTACTTCTGTCTCATTTCCAAGTTTACTAACATGAGAAGCATTAGAGATCATGTGATGCAGCTGAATTTCCAGACCAGAAAAGCTTAGATAAACCTTTGCATTTTTGAATCCCTTTATCCTTTTTCAGTAACTTCTGCTCTAAATTCATCTGTCAAGCCTCAGAAGTGGGAAGAACGCATGACAGATAGACAGTTTTTTCAGATGTGAAGCTTAGATTATCTGGGTCTTAAAATATTCTGAAGAAGACCTAAGTATATGAAACCTCATTTGAATTATACGTACGCTTTAGAGCGCAATGCAGTAACGCTGCGCACAAGTGATCAACGATTTACTCACCTGACTATTTGCATTATGTTGTGGTGGCAGTTCTGGTGTGTAATTCATAACTTGATAAACTTTAGGTTCTTCTCAGAGTATAAATTTTTCTGAAACCTGTCTCGTAACTCTTACCTATGCTCTGTCCTTGCTGGAGAACTCTGTTAATTTTCATAATCTGAACAGTAAATTAAAGGAAAATAGGCAGCCTCTGTGCTTACTTGGTGAGGATTTATGGTATGCCATTACTCAGTGGAGTATTTTGTAAAGATAATGAAGTCCTAGTAATATAATAGCAGGTATTACTAAAGCCTCATTACCTTTAAGAGATATTCTGCTGAACATTTTCCAGGGTATGCTGAACTGTTATCAGTAATTAAAAGTCAACTCCAGTTGTCAAATAAAGGAACTAGGAATGTTCAGCAATAGTATTTGCATTATTCATGGATTCAGTCTCTGGGGCGTGAATCATCTAACACCTCGTTTGCTCTGCTCCGATGAACGTGTTCTCATTACCAGTCCTCCAGCTGCACTGCGGAGTCCATGGGCCGGCCTCGTAGGAGTAGGCTCCGTGTGTGAGTTGAGAAGTGAGCCCGTGCCTGTGTCCTAGGTGGTTATTGGCTGAGTCTGGAGGGGGCCGGGTGCCACTGGCAATACAAGCGCATCTTCCGGTGCAGATCTGCTTGTTGGCATGAGTGTCTGAGCTAATGGGAAATGGTCTCCTTCCCCCTCTCTTCACAGAAAATATCTTCACCCAGCAACCAAGTTACTTCAGTGACCTCAACGAAACTCTGCCCACTGTCCTCCAGGTACTGCTGCTTCCCTCCTTGGCTCAGGGCTTGGATTGCATCTGGAAACGCGGCACAGTGTAGAGGGTGGAAGGGAGCGAATGTGCTCATAGGCAGGCAGAATGTATTTGCTATTGCTTACTTTCTCTAGTTTATGCTAATGTGCGTCACATAGTTTCTGAACCTTCATCTAAAACTATTACCTGAGGACTACTTGCTATTACCTTCCTTCAGCTTCTGGCCTTCTCTGCACTTGTCCAAGGAATTTTTGTTAGGCGGTTCAAAAAGTGTTCTTTGTACCGCTCCACCAAGCAGGGGAAGCATTAAAACTTAGAACAACGAAACAGAGGCCGTGAGAGGTAGCTAAGGCTTGGCAGAGTAGAGTGGGTTAGTGTTAACGCTGCAGGTCCTCGGGAGTGAATGGAAATCCGTTGGAGGGGGTGCGTTGTTGCCATAGAAAAGACATTTGACACCTCTCCATGTCTCAGCTTTCATTTTTATAAGCAGCTGGTATATTCCCCAGGCTCGGTAAGCAGGATTCACATTTAGCCTGAGAGGGAAATCAAGGTGCATTGACATCTTTGTACCCTAAAAATGACATGTTTGTGTCCTCAGAAAGCTCACCTATGCACAAACATAATCAAACCCCACAGTACTGTTTACCCCAAGACACCTATCATGTCACTTGACTTTTTGAAAGCCTACATTTTTCTTGCTTTCTGTGTGTTAAGAAATGGCTAGAGCTAAATCTCAGAGGTGATACCACGTTTAAAAAATATTCTGGGATGCAAGACCAGACCTTCAAACGTATTACTGGGGAGGACAGCAGAGATTCCGTTTGCTTTCCGTGATGTACCACGCTGGAGCAGTTTCTCTGCAGAACACTGGTTTCTTTACAGTGTGTTTTCGTAACCGTTGCAGGGCGATACTGGTGTATCGGAAGTGTAGGGATGTCACAGCTCGAACAAAGATGTGTCGTTACTGGTCGATAAAGCCGTTGATGTGCTTACACTGTCACTGAAAGCAGTTGATACCAGTGCAGGTTTAGGAACTCGTGTGCCTGTAGAATAGTAATATTAACCCCCAGTGTGCAGCTTCGGTACCTTTTGCTGCCCATTCACGTGTCTCCAGGAGGAGGGTTTGACAAATCTCTCAGGGTGCGGATGTACGGGAACTGCGGTTAAGTTGGTCCTACAGCAGAGACTGTTAGCAATCTGGAACCTGTTTTTATGGGCTTCTCCTCAGATTCTTGTTTATAAACAAGAGCCACAAGATCCATCCTGCTGACCTCACGGGAGATGGCAGGAAGGCTCTGGGACTTGCCCGTAAGCAGGGGGTGGTGTGAACTTCCCAGTTGTCCCCCCACTCCCTTGCAAATAGGGATCCCGAGCGGCTCCCAGCATTGGCCTCAGTGGCTGATTTTCTCACGTAGCTGAGGATTTGGATTAGTTACAGTCCCTGTCCCAGCACCACCACCACCGTTGCGTGCAAGTCGTGTGGAAGCGCAGTGTGGCCCTTCCTGCTGTAGCCTGCAAGAGTCTGTTGCAGCTTTCGTCCTCTGCAGCTTTGTGCTGCGTGGAAATAGTCACGTATTGCATATAAAGCACGTCCCATTGCTTTCCCCGGTCTGTTTTAACCCTGTTCTGTTCTCTTGATCTAGGTGTTCAGCAATATTTTGCATAAGTGTGGCTTGCAGTGTGAAGGAGCCTCTGCTGAGCCCCAGAAGTTGGAAGAAAGAGTGAATGTGACTCCGGGGAACATGCCACTCCAGGTAGGGCTGCTGCTCCTTGTGCTTGCCTGTTTGGAGTCCTGCGAAGTGAACGCTTCGTGGAGCAGCAAGACCACAGAGGGTCGTTCTGTTCCCAGACACTGGTGGCTCATACAGCACATGGTTCCATGTCATTGTTTCACTGTTTGTTCTGTGTTTTGATGATACAGCCTTTCCACCATGCGTTGGTTGCTCTGCTCCCGTGCGTGTCAACTGTATCCATTGTAGCATGGATTCTTTTTAAACCCGGCATCTTTTTTTGCTTAACCAGCTCATAAGTAATGTCACAGAGCATCTGACAGAAGCCTCCACATAACCCTGACAGTGATCAGTGTTGATCTTTCCTTCAGAAATGTTTGTTTAACAACAGTATGCTTTAATTAATTAAGGTTTGTGTTTTTTTGTGCTGGGTCCTGTGCAGAGACAGGCCCCATCTGAGTTAGTAGCCCTATCTCACAAGACGTTAGTCCCACAGTCTGTACATGGGAGTTGTTACCGCTGCCCTGGAAATGCACTGAAATGGCCACTGAAGTCATCCCTTTAATTCCTGTATTACTGCTATGCAGTGCTTTCAGATAGATGGGGAAGAATGCTGTATGTGGAGAAAATACAGAGGCCAAAGCCACCGTCTGAAACAGTGATGAGGATTCTCGTAATTCCACAGACCCTTTCATGAGAGTGAGCAGTTGGGATTGCGTTGTAGATGTTTAAAGCATAGAGGTTTTCAGAGAGATGTCGTTACTGGGTCTAGAGGCAGAAACATGTCGTGTGTTTACGAATTATAGCAGACTCTCTTTGTGCAGTTGGGACCAGGCTTGGTCTGAGCACAGTGTGTCCCAGCTAGTGAGTTCCTGTGTTCCTAGGAAAACTTGTCTGGCTTTTCTCTCAGACATTGCTCTTTCTCCCTCAGGAGCTGAAGGATATTGTGCTGTACCTATGCGACACTTGCACGACACTGTGGGCGTTTCTTGATGTCTTCCCATTGGCTTGCCAGACCTTCCAAAAACATGAGTTTTGCTACAGGTACATCTTGGACTGCAGACAGAGCTCGTCTTGGCAAAGTAAAAATACTGAGTGTGTTGCTGTGTCCTGTCCCAGCGCCTTCATCACTAAGAGTAGACCGATTTAATGCAGCTAGAGACTGCTAGGTTCACAGCGACAGGAATACAGAGACTCCCGGTAAATCAATGAATATAGGGACATCTAGAAGTTTGTCTGTTATATGTTCACCTTCGTCACGATCCAGATCCTAGAGGCAGGCAACCATGACAGTAAGCGGTACCCGCTGTGCTTGGGAAGGGATGGAGAGGGATGAGTAGAAAAGACTTGTGGACAAAAAGAGCTTCCTGCTGTAGGACCTGAAGCAAGGGAATTAGAAAGTCTCGTGGAGTGATAGTCCATCAGGGTCTGAAAATAAACATTTTTGCTTGATGTTATACCTAATTTTTATGCTAGAGAATATTATTGAGGTTTGGCAAAAGCCGAGTGCCTGGGAGAGGGTAAGCCAGTGCTATCCCAGCTGGGCTGACCGTGAATTCCCTGTCCAGCTCTGGATCACAGTGGTGATGAGTCAGGATGGGCTGAAGGACCGGGCAGCTGGGTGTGTTCCCACAGAGGCTGCAGGCTCTTGAGAGGCACTGACCTGTCTTGCTCCAGGTGTTTTCAGCCCCCAGATCATCTTGTAGAGTCCTGCATTGACAGCCCTTGTTTAGGGCCAACTGAAGTGATTATTTATCATCCTTATTTCCCCTGTTTTGTTTGTTTGTTAGCGTGAACGAACACACGCTTGTGGTTTGCTTTTGTTTCCAATCACGCTGCAGACCTCTGAAGTCTGAGAGCTGCCAGTGGTTTGCGGACCAGAGGCTGAGTAATGCTGCTCTGGGGTGTGTAGGTTTCTGTCCGCTTTGGGTGTTGTCTTCGAGTTGGTTGTTGAGAGAAGAGCAGGCTGGTGGACAGCTAGTGGCTATTTGAATTGGCAGGCAGCACTGCTTACATGCTCGGTTACTCAGAGGAGGAAAGTCTTTTGCTTCTAATTCTACTGTCAAAGTCAGAGATGTGCTGAAATAGTCTTGATCTCTATGCAGTGGGACAACAGCAACGCGTTTTCATTACTGCTCAATATGGGCTAATTACTGGGTCTTTGGAGCGTGGGGAGGGAAAATTGATTTAGGTGTCGTCTTTTTGGCAACTCTGTGAGTCTGAATCAATCTGCTGGCACTTGCTAATTTCTGTCCCTGACTAGAAGTATCCACCAGCTTCTGCTACATTTGCCTCAAGGATACTCATTTAACATGTTTGGCTCCTAATGAGAGACGTGGACATAATGTTCCTAATGGAGCCTCTGCGCGTCAGTCCGGCTTGGCTTTTGTGCAGAGTGCTGTAAACCATGATTTGTAACATCTCGCTGCTCAGGAGCCAGTACTGGCTGTTACTCCGTGAGGGTGCTCCTCCGCATCTCGCGGTGCTCTGTCCCTGAAGGAAAGGGTCTGTGTGGGCTGCCTGGCACAGAAAATGCGAAACTGGACCAAACGAGCCTTCTGTGTTTCCTCCCTGCCACATCCTATTGACACATCCTCTTAGGCTTTCTGCATGTTGGATACCTTCATCTAAATGCCTACCTAGAGCAGAGCAGAGTAGCCAGACCAGTAAGAATTTGTTGGAAATCATATCCTGTTTCATACCCGGTTTTTAGCATACAGCAAGATAGGTTCATAAGGCTGTTGGCGCGGGAGGGGGTGTTTTGGGATGGACTCCAGCATGTCAGCTCTTTGCAGACTGCGGATTTGCGTTTGGGGTGTTTCTCGGTGGGGCAGATGGCTCTTCTGTTCAGTAGCATGTTGCTTTTTCAAATGTGTCTCTTTGCCTGCCTCTTCAAAGACACCTGGATGGTTTCCTTCGAGTGCTGCTCTTCATCTGTTGAATATTTGCTTGCTTGTGTTTCAGGGAACAAATAATAAAATGGGGTGATGCTATGGAGTACTGCTAGTGAGGAGAATTTCATGGGATTAACCATTTGATTTGTCCTTCAGTGAATTGAAGCCTCAGTTGACAGTTCCTGTTTTGTTACCGCTTTCTACAGATTAGCTTCGTTTTATGAATTGGCAATTCCCGAGCTGGAATCTGCAGTGAAGAAGAGGCATTATGAGGATAACAGGTGAAAATGTCTGCAAAGGCTTGCATTTTCTTTTCAGTAAAATTCTCCCAGGGCTTAGTTAAAAATTCACTTCATGCTGCTTTACCTGCCTCTGCGGAATCTTTTTGTCTTTTTTTTTATGGTGCTTCAAAGAACTCTGAAGAGATGGCTTTTCTAATTCCAAATTTTCCTGGGCGGTGAGGTGACTAACAGTTCCCTTCACTGCTGTCTAAGAAGAAACTTGATGGGAGATGCATTCAAATTGTAACAGAGTGTGAAGACGTGCATGATATCTCTCTGTGTGGATTGGTCTCATTTTAAGGCACAGACTACCCTGGTACAGTTGAGATGTCACTTGTCTACCTGTCGGGACATTTGGTGATTGAGACTAACTTTGTTCAGAGCATGGATTTTTCCTTCATGTGTGTGAAATGGCTCTGATCTCTGGTCCTTGCAGCAAAAAGACAGTTCTGCTAATGAAATGCCTCCTCTGGAGGGGTAACTCTAGGGCAAAGGTGTGTTGAAGATTCGGATTTCTTGTGCTAACATTAACAGTGTGTTCTTTTACTCTCTCTGAAGCGTTTTTGCTGATTTGTGGAGGAGAATTTCACACTCCAGGAAGAAGATGATAGAGGCTTTTCACATCCTAATAAACCAAGTCTGTCTGCAGCCCATCTTAGAAAGCAGGTATTGGCACTCGGGCTCTGTGGTGCTAGCCAGTTGTTGATTGCCATTGCAGGAGAGATTGTTTCTTCGTTTTCAGACTTAGTGGAGAAAATGAACCAGATACTGCTGTTTGTGTTTGGGTCGTAGCCAAAGACTTTAGGAAATGGTGTGATGAGCTGTGTGTTGGCCCCACTGAAGTGGGATAAGGCTGGGATCCAGCAAGCGTTCTAACCTGAGTTTATGGCTAAGTTGCAAATTCCAGTGCTGTGTGTAGACACCTTGACTGAGTCACCACAGTAAAAGCGATGCAGCGTTACGGATCGCTGAAAATAGTAATTTTAAATCTATACACTGGTGCCTTTACCTAGTTCTGCACCTGCTCCTGTTGTGAAAATTGTTAACCAATAGCTCTGAGTAATCAAAAAATGAAGGCAGGTATAACCATCCTTGATTTGAAATAGAGAAATGGAGAAAAGTGAAGTGGCCCAAAACCATGCTGCACGTTGGGGATGGAGCCAAGAACCTGGACCATGTTTGGAAGGCCAGCGCAGTCGCGGGCTGGCCTCTTGTTGCCTGTACTTCTTATGGGTTTTGTGGATTGCTGCTCTCTGTGGCTCCTGTTCTGCTTTAGTATTTTCCCTGGTCTGATATCAGGAGAGTTGCCCAAGAAGATGAGGAGGGTCTGTTTGTGGAATTCCTTATGAGAGACCTGGATTTGCTTCCCTGACTTCCTCTGTGACCTGGACTAAATTACCCAATCTATCTGTGCTATAACTCCAGTCCTTAAAGCAGCAGTGAGCCTTGCCTGACCCTCAATTACCTAAGTATTGCCTTTCAGTACCCACCACAATATTGGAAGTGTAAAGAAACCAAAGTGTGTAGTGTGTTCCGATCCACAGTCTGAGGGACTATATATACTTCAGAGGCAGTAAAGGACAGCTCCAGACACTCACTGCCAGTTTGGTGGGAGCTCCTGTGAAAACAACATCTCCAGCTTCTAGGGAAATACCACCTTCGTCTGCCTGACCCATTGCAGAGGGCGTTCTGTCCTGCTGTGAGGCTTGGGGCATCAGCAGCCATGGGAGGTCTGGGCGTTAGAACAGAAGGGTTGCAACAGGAGTTTGCTTGGCCTGTGTTCTTACATAGGTGAGCACATATTTTCTGGGAGGTTCACTGGTATAATCCCAAGACGTGTAATAAGAGTGCAATTAGAAAAGCCCTACACACCCTTTTCTGCTTATTGCAAGTCTGAGGCATCAGACTACGATTTGTGAGACCTGTCAGTAGTCCTGTAATTCTAACTGTGGTACGGCTGTAGATTGAGCTGGCTGAAAGGTTTGCTGAACTCATAAAAGAAGCTTGTTTCCATTTGACCCTTTGCTCATGTGAAAGCCAAAAAGTGGACTGAAATCTGTTCTCAAATGGGGTTTTCCCTTGATGCATGGATGTGACTGGTTTGGCTAGTGAGGCGGAATGTGGAGGTTGTGCAATGCGGTAGGCTTACCACTGAGTTTTTCACTGCTTTGTGCCATTGTTTTCTGCAGCTGTGAGAACATTCAGCCTTTTATTGAGGAATTTCTACAGATCTTCACTTCAGTGCTTCAGGAAAGGAGGTGAGTCTGGCTGAAAGAGGCCCACAGGGAGGGTCAGCTTGCCTTCCTCTTCCATTCTTTACAAGAGAATTGCCCGAGACACTATTACGAGGCATTACGATGCAGTTGGGAGTTAGAAATCATTCTAACTAGTTGGGAGAACTGCTGTGAGACGATTTCAGGCTGCGGTACAGACTTTACTGTAAAGATGAGGAGGATGTTGCGTGATGCTGGAGAATGTTATTCTTCGCTCTCTTTAATCCAGGCTTTCAAAGCGGAGGATAGCATTTAGCCTTTAGCTACCTGGACAGGTTAGACTATGATTACTAATCTGTGCTTCTCAGCTGGGGTGACCAGAGCAGAAAGATATTAAGTGCTAATGCTGAAGGTGGGAAGTGAAGAAGTGGCAGAACTGTGAATTCCATCTTGTCCTCCTGACGGTGCTGTCATTCTGATCCTGTTCAAGTCATAAACCATATTTTTTCTGTAATGCGGCACTGGGTTACGGGTCTCAGCATCATGAGAAGTGTTGCAGCTGGCTCTGATGTCTTGGGGGGAAGTGCTGCTGCAGCATAGTGGGGGTAAAATCAGACATAGCAACCCATGCTGGATTTCAGTGGTGGGCAAGAGGTTGTACGTGTTGCTGCCTGAGCAGTGAGGAGCTCAGAGTGGCATCGCAGGGATGGTAGTGTGGGACAAGTCTGCTAGTAATTTGTTCTTGCGTTCAACTGATTAAACTTGCTTCTGTGTTTTCAGATTTCTCCGTGACTATGATGAGCTGTTTCCTGTTGAGGATGACATCAGTCTGCTTCAGCAAGCGTCCTCCACTCTGTATCCTTTGCTGTCACCTTGGGGTCTTGCAGACCTGGCTGCTCTTGGATTCCTTCACGGCAGTGGCATTTCCAGTGTTGCTGCCGCTGGTTAAGCTGATGGAAGGTTGTCTCTTAAAAAAAGAAAGAGGAGAAATGGTAATGTAGGCACAAGCTTGGGAGTCACTCAAAATTGCATAGTTGCTTCAAGGTGAGGTCTGAATATGTGCGTCTAGAAATGTCCTTAATGCTGTCTTCTCAGAGATGAGACCAGGACGGCCTATATCCTCCAAGCAGTGGAAAGTGCGTGGGAAGGGGTAGACAGGAAAAAAGCACAAGTTGTTAAAGATCCACCACCACCAGCAGCATCTAATGGAGCGTCAGCAATGGTGGAGAGCACTGCTGAGGACGTGGAAGAGCTCGGGGCTGCATATGCATCAGAGGATGAGGTGACTAGAGCTGTCTGGGTAGGGCTGGGTTCTGCTCTTCCTGGCCTTGCTCCATTCGTCTGTGAAGAGAGGATCGGTTTTCTCGGTTTGGGGGATGACGTGAGATTTGGTCTTATTTGTTACCTGTGCTAGATTTCAGTGCAGCCCCATGTGCCTAGTGAAACGAGAAACAAAGCTGCACCTGAACCCCGGCTTTATCTTCGAGCAAATTGCTTCTAACTCCGGTTGGCTTGGGTTTCCCATTGCTGTGGTTTGTTTAAATACCGTGCTTCGTCACTGTAGTTCATGTGCATATTTTTTAAATGCACAGTTCTTACGCTATGTGAGGAAGGGATTCCCCAGGGTCTCCTTGCTGACTCGGGGACACACAAAAGTAGTTGTGTGCCCGAGTCTGTGTCATAGCCCTTGTATTGTACAAACAGCTTAGCTGATTTCTCCTCTTTTGACTTCTGTCTTGGACTGCTTTGTGTTTGAATCCTGATAACCCAGGCTGCTTCCTTCCCTTTCTTAACGTGCATACCTGCCACCCCTCGGCTGCTGTCTCTTGCCAGTAATGCCACCAATTCTGTTCGGTGTCTGCAGTGTGCCGGTGCAGCTGCTGCGCTCACTGTCAAGGTGTCCGGGGTGGAGCTGGACTCCCTGATCTCTCAAGTCAAGGACCTGCTGCCAGACCTCGGGGAGGGCTTCATCCTGGCCTGCCTGGAAGAGTACAGTTACAACGCGGAGCAAGTGATCAACAACATTCTAGAAGATAAACTGGTGCCATACTTGGATAAGCTGGACCGAACAATGCAAAGGTGTGGGACAACTTCTGGTGTGGTTTTGATGCCTTTTGTTTTCTCGTTTGCGGGTTGTCATTGAACATCATTCTTACTGAAGGTTAGACACTTGTAGAGCTCGAAGAAGTTGCGTGTGCATTTTCTTGGGGTAGATAGCTGCAGTGAGAGCTGCTCGTTGCCACCTGCCCCTAGCTTTCTGCCCTCGCTGTGGCCCTGCAGAGGACCGGAACATTCGCCGTGCAGCATTTCAGCAGAGCAGATGCTGGGTGGTGTTTTGTGATGGGGGCACAAACTACTTGGACATGAAACACTCAAATAGGAACCATTAAAATTCCATCATGGGGACATGGGCCTAGCCTAAGCTGGGCAATAGTGTGTTGCCTTCAAAAGTTATTTTGCTGCGGAGGGCAGGGTGGTAGGTGTCAAAATCCCAGCTGTCCTGCAGGAAAGGGCATCTGCAAAGGAACTGATTCAGCTGAAATTCAGCCCGCAGGGTCAAATACGGTATTTGAAAGGCTGCTGTTTTGCGGTTGAAGATAAACCAGAGAGAGATCGGAAATGGCAAATTAGATCCATTTTTACTTACCCTTTGACAAAGTTGCCAGGCTTTTGCTTGCTTCTCGGAGTTGTACATGGGATGTGGGGTTTATAGCTGGTGGTGGAATGGAGTTGGTTTAGTTCCTCTGCAGCTGCTAGCATGTGTTTGTGCTGCAGCAGCGGTTTCTGACGGAGTGTCAGGATGTGAATGTGCTGTTTGTTCACATTTCATGGAGGAATGGGCAGACTGTCTCATTGTTGCATTAAAAAAGGAAAGCTTCTTTATCAGAAAACTGATGTAAATATCTTACTTTTGCAAGAGTCTTGGTGCTCCCGCAGTCAGATCTGCTGATGTGGCATGGGCTTTTGGAAGGACTGGCTTTTTCTGCAAAGGCAGCGGTTACAGAAGATAGAGCTCGAATTTTTTCCCTGCCTTTTGCATCTTCAAACAAAACTGTCAGTTCAATAGCAAATGTAGAATTTTGATCACTGCTGGTTTTAGAAGTGAGCACAGCAGCGTTTTCAGATACCCAGCTGAGCTAACAGCATCAACAAAATGAATGTAAAAATAATGGTCTTTTGACTTGTAAGTTGAACAAACGTAAACCTGGAACCCTGAGAAAGAATTAAGAGGGAACCATAGGGGGATAAACACCCTGACATCAACAGCGGCAGATTATTGGAATTTTTTCCGGCATGTAATTCATCATACTTAGTGTTTGGCTTTAGTGAGTCACTGTTTTGAAACCACGCAGTCTGTTGAATATTCCATGCTCCTGCACAGTTTTACTTAGTCTTACACGAACAGAAGAATTTTCTTTTTGCTTTCTGAAAGTTGCTTTCGTTTCCCAACAAAGGTGAGCTTTGAAAACTGTGCCTTTTATCTCAGACCTGTGCCACGCAGGAGCTGTGCACGTACTATGGTGCGGCTGTGAAATGAAGGGATGGCAGTCTGTGACCCAGTCAGCCAGCAGCACAGAGAGGTTCTTGGCATGCTGTGGATGGCTCTGAGACCGACAAAGAATAAATCAAGGTCTTGGGAAGGAGAGGACTTGCTCTTCCTCAGTTCACCTTTGTTTTTATTCTCTCTGTTTTTTTCATTAACAGACAGCTGAAGCCAGACCCTACTCCTCTAGTCACTTCTCGCTATAATGTTTTCCAGAATGATGAGTTTGATGTTTTCAGTAGGGATTCAGTGGATGTTTCTCGGATACAAAAAGGCAAGCGGTGAGTATCGTGCACCCTTAATTAACCCTGTCTGTCAGGGGAAATAAATATCTGTGAACCTGCAAATTTATTTCTCATACAAGCCTCCTGCAGGAATTTGTTGGCGGGGTGTAAGGCTCATAAAAAATGTTTCCCGCTTGTTTCTTCCGTTTCTCTGGGAAAGTCAAATGAAATGCTGTTAGGGGCTTCGTTTCAGTTGGTGTTTTTCCGAATTGACTTTCCTCTGTGTGCTGCTAGAGTTTACTCTGCCAAGCTCATTTGTGATGTTGGGTTCTTGCTTCTTGGTCTTAATGTTAAACTTGTATTGAACAACAAACCTTGAGAAGAACCATCTCTATGAGCCTGGGGCTGTGACTCAGAAATGGGAAAGAACAGTGATGTGGTTTAGATCCAGGGGAAGCTTCAATACCTATCTGCTGCAAAATCTGATACTGTTTGTTTCCCGGCTGCCATAAGCTGCTGTGGATTTCCTTTGCTTTCTGCCTGGTTTGGCGTGTTGTGCTGTGCCACGCTCCATGCAAATTTAGGTTAGGGCATTGTCCTGCTGCCTGCCATTGATGTCAGCTGTGTTGCTATAATATGGTTGATTTCAGATTCTTTTTGTACACTTTCTCTAACCAGCCCAGTCTGATCTTTATGTTGGTATGTATTTACACAGAACGTAAATAGAAGTCTGGCTGGAGACTGAGCCACACCACCCTGGGAACTCCCAGTTAAGGTTTTGTCGCAGAACTGCTTCAAACTCTCAGGAGAAAACCACTTTTGTCCCAGAGTCCAGTCGAACAACTTTTCAGTAGCAGTGTGTAGTGCTTATATTGGCTCAGCTAGGCAAGAAAAGAATTCCTCTTCTCTCTGGCCAAGACAATGCCTTTTGAAGCGTCCATAGCTGAGAGTTCAGAGGCACCATCTCTGCTTTCTCCTCATCGTGTTGCCTTCTTCAGAGTGCGGGCAAGCACCTTGTCAGCGGGAGCCTTGTGCACCGGCGTGCTCGGCTATCTCCCACCTCCCCAGAGTTCGGCACATGTGGGCGGCTGCTGCAGTGGCCAGAGGAGGCCGGAGAGCACTGCCTGAGCTCAGCACAGCGCATCCAGCGTGTGGAATAGCCCTGCTGGGAGCTCCCTCTGCAGACCTCTTGGGGAGCTTTGAACATCCAGAGCCATCTCAGAGCTGGGTTGTGGGACCCTGCTCCCATGGCATCGCCCCCACTGCTGCCAGGGAGGCTGTGTCTTCTCTCCGATGGGAACTTGAGAAAGCTGCCATCTCTGCTGCTGTACTGTTACGTGACCTCTTGGGAGGATCCTCTTACTGCTGCTCTTCCTGGTGTCTCTTGGCCTCCCTCAGGCTACGTCTTCATTTCAAAACAGTTCTTCTTACACGGAGAACATTCTGCAGGACTCCAGCCAAGTTGTTTATGTTTTGAGTGGTTTTTAAAACCTGGAGGTAACTAGCTGAGATGTAGCAATGTACACAGTATGCCCAGAGCTGACTGTATCTAACTAAACCAAAGGATAAGCCATAGTACCTTGCTTTCTAGGGTTTTAACGTTCAGGACTCCGTAAGTATGAAGAATGTGTCCTTTCAGCACTGAAAGTGCAGCTTCCCTCGTAGTCCTTGTTCCACAAGCAAGAGACCTGATGCTTTACCTGAGCGCCTAGTTCGAGACTTGCTCTGTATTAAATTGGATCCATTTATCTTTTTTTATCTTTTTTTTTCTCCTTCTTAAAATCTTTTGGTCACCAAATTCTGCCTGTGTTTAGAGGGTTGTTTCTGCCCCAGCATGGTGTCGTAATAGCGCTTCAAGAGCCAGATCAGGTTGGGTCCCATTGCCCTAGCTGCTATGCGGGTAAGCGTAAGCAGTTTGGGGCAGAGACTGCTAATAAGAAGGAGAAAGCCACGCTGGGATGAGGAGAGAAATAAGCATGTGGAAACAAATATGCTAGCATATACGTGATTCTTTGCTGAGCCTGAAAAGTGATCTCACTTGTCTCTGCCGGTCCAGCTGCAATTGCTTGCTGAATCGGTCTCTTGAAGTCAGAGCATGTCCTGGACACCATGGGGCTAGAGGAGTTATCCCACTGTTTTTCCTGGAATTGGTGCCTGAAACACTTCATTGCAGCTCTTCTGCAGTCATCAGACCAGCTCAACAGGAAACAATTATCAAATGCTTAGTTTGGTCTCATGCTGAATACCAAGAGGCGGTGTTAGCCCAGCCTCGGTATGTGCGAACTAACCACAGGTTTTGTAGGGCGCGTTGCAGCTGAAGGCAGCGATGTAACAGTGAGTCACATTCGAGAGGGGAACCACATCTCTCTAATGTTACTTTGGTTTGAGATTCTGAACGAAAATCAGGCTGCTTAGATCACTTCCCCCTGCTTGCTAATATGTCACATAAGTCTATCCATTCTTGACTCACTGACAGTCTGCCTTGGATGGGTTCTTCCTCTGATAATATCCAGAGGCCAAATAAATCATTGATGCGTGTTCCTCTTGGAGGGCTGCAAGTTGTCCTGTGAATACTTGACAGTAGAATCCCTTGCCACGTGCTGTAAGCGTATACTTCGTGGGTCTGAAAAATGGGATTTCAAAGAGTTTATGTGTGTGCAGCTTGCGACACAGCATCTCAGTGGCTGCTTTTAATACCTCTGTCAAAATTGTACTTCTTGGTCTTCCCTTCTTTAAAATGACTACAATTTACTTGCGTCCTAAGTTTTTAAAATATTCTGCATGCAGTACTTTGAAATAGGTTGGATCAGAATCACGAGTCTGCTCTGTTTTGTTCTTTTCATTCTTAGTTGTGCTTATTCTGATCCTTACTTGCTGCAGTGGTAATTTTTTGGCTCTCCCCATCTACATTCACACTTCGCATCTCGCGTTTGCAAGGTTCTTGACTGTAGGAACATACAAGTGCGCACAGCAGTTGCTCTGATGCAGCCCTGCTCCGTGATTTGCAGCTGTGCGTGCTACCGCAGTGAGACGATACTGCAGCGCGGTGTTAGAGGGCACTCCGGGCCTGGCAGAGCCGTCTCGTAGGCTGGAGCCTTACCCCTAACAGCTTGCTGTTCAGGATTCGTGGGACTTCCTGGGCTATTTGGATCTTGGGCAAATTTCAGCTGGAGTGTAATTGCATTTGGTCTCCTGTAAAAGCTTCCTTTCTGTCTCAAATGACAGTGGCGGTCTCCAATTCCTGCTCTTACCTGCTGTGTAATCTTGCTGGGCTTCTGTTTAAAAATGGCTTTGTTCCAAGCCAGGAGTGGCCCTTTTCAGCAGCCAGACAAACAACTCTGTTACAGATCAGAGGGGAAATAGGTAGGCTGAAGTGGTGCTTGTGGAGTTTGAAAGGAGACTTCTGTTGCTTCAGCTTCCACTTACTAGAAGGAAAAAAAAGTAACACAGAGAAGATCTTTACACTGCCTTTCTGTCTCTGCCTCCCCATCCCCATGCTGTGGAGCACAGGAGAGAGAAGGACACGACGAGGAGTTTGCTGAATGACAAACGCCTGGTTGCTGAGCAGAAGGAGCGCTACAGCCAGTACAGCGTGGTCGTGGAGGAGATTCCTGTGCAGCCAGGAGAAGCCCAGCTCTACGGGGAGGACTATGAGGACGAGTACGATGATACTTATGATGGAAACCAAGTTGGGGCAAATGATGCGGACTCGGATGATGAGCTGATCAGCAGGAGGTAGGTGCTGTGGCTGCAGTGACTGGGAGGTTGCTGGGAATTGCCACCTGGATTTGTCTGGCTGGCACAAACCTGTTCAGCACTGGGTCTGGCTCTGTTTCTCAGTGAGGACATGCATGCTTCAAACCACCCTTTTGTCTGCTGCTTTCTCCGTAACATGCAAGGAGGGAGATTTGGGTCTCTCTTCTCCTGTTGGTAGGGGGCATTGCCATGGCATGCACCCAGGAACTTCTCAGCCTTCCACCTGCTGTGGCTGCAGGACTCGGCCGTTGCCTCAACTAACCAACAAACCGAAGAGGGGCATTTGCCGTTGTGCTGAAGTCTTGAGTACTCAGGATTGAGTGTAGCTGGGCAATGTAAAGTGGCTGGTTAGCAAAGGAAAGCTTCAAAATTGGAAAACTGTACAACCAGAGTTCATCTCCTTGCCAGTCCCCTCTGAGATCTCAGAGTGCTGACACCTGGAATTCAGTCCCTGATGGACTGCTCAGCACTCTGCACAGTGACGGACAGCTGGAGACAATTAGCTTTTAGGTAGCAGAGGGTTAGTTTGGGGTGGGGGTTGTAGTATGTTTATTTTGAAAATAAGATCTAGAGATAGAAAACATGTGTTTTAAAAGTGGGTTTAACATTTCTGCAAGTGGCCTTGTAAATTCTGATGTATTATGAAGATGTCAGTTTCTAACCTCAAACTGAATGCAGCTTTGGTGCTCCTTTGTCCCTTTTACTTTTTGTGTTCCCATCTCCTAAAGTGTAGTGAGGCTTCAGCCTGAATCCTTTTTGTGGTTTGCCTGTAACAGTGTGACACTGGGGTCTTTCCCCATAGTTCAGGTGCTCGGTGCTCACTGCTCCTAGAGAAGTAGGAGGAACAGTTGGTGGATGTTACTGCTGAAAACTAGATCTGTAGGTTTGAAGTAGCAAAGGCTTTTCTGGTTTTACATTTGTTCCTTCGGCAGTGGAAAGGTGGATCTGAATCCCAACAGAATTTAAACACGCACGCATCTATTAGAGAAGAGCTACAGGCGTGAGGTGAATTCCACCTCCGCCACCCCCCAGGCCCTTGGCTGCTCTGGGTGTTCAGGGTGACTCATGAAGCTTGGTGGGTTTCTCCAAGCATTTCGCCCTGCGTGAAACTGGGGTGCAGCAGTGAACTCGGGGCTCCATGGGTAACCGCTGACCAGCCGTAGTGGTTTCACAGCACAGCGCTTTCTGAGCATTAATGTTTCTGTCTGAGTTTGGGGTTTGAGGGCTTGTCTTCAGGCACTCCCTGAGCGGTGAGCTGAAGCCTGGCAAAGTGTACTCCTTACTAATGCCTCGTGGCTCGGCCTGCATCCCCTTATCCCAGAGGAAGCAGTTGTTTCCTTGGAGAAATTCCTTGTGAGGTTTCAGGTTTTTCCTGATCTGCTCCTTTTTAAACTATACTATTTTCGGTAACAACTTCATAGTGAGCATTCCCCAGTGAAGACCATGTGTTTGTTAATTGCCCATAGTAAATGTGTCATTAGTTACTGGGTGTCATCTTTTTTTCCCTTCAGAAAAAGAAGGAAGTCCATGAAATTTGTAGATTCTCACTTCTGAGAGCTGATGCAAGCCAAAAAGGACATGCTGTTCAGTAAGTGTTGGTGGCTGTACTGTCTTCATTGCTGACTCTTTGTGTCTTAATTCTCAGGCCGTTCACAATTCCTCAGGTCTTGAGACCTAAAGGACAGGAAGGAGCCCAGGAGGAAGAGGAGGAGGATGAAGAGGAGGAGGAGGAGGAAGCTGAAAAGGAAAGAACAAAGGTGACGTTCAGTTTGTGGTTGGAGTTGCAGTAAGATTTACCATATGCCTTATCTGCTTCACCCGCAGAGTGATGCGGAGCAGATTTCCTCTTTCAGAGCATGAATCTTTTAACAGTAGTGTGGAGACTGAGCTGCTTTTCAGAGTGGTTACTTCTGCGGTCTGCTGGCCTGTGAAGTGTCCCCTGAGCACGGGTATCCCCTGCTTCCTAGGCTAACCGTGCTGGAGCAAGGACAGTTACTCTGTGGAGAGGCTTAATCTCTGTTATTCCCTAGACAGATGAGGCCAGCAGAACACTTTGATGGTCACTGACGGTCTGTTGTCATGGATATACTGGGAGTAGTGACGCTGATGGTGTTGCTGGCAGAGTTAGGATGTGAGAAGAAGTCCCAGTCAGGTTTTGTGCCAGGTTTTGTGTTTAGAGTCACTGACACCAATCCTGCTGGCTCAGCCAGAAGAGGTAATAAACAACGGATCGACTCCGTCACGTGGTCCAACAGAATCACCTCCTGCTCTAGCCTTTTGCATGGTGCTGATGAGTTTGCTGACCTCTTTCCTTCCTCCCCATGGTAGGACCATTTTGTGCAGGACCCAGCTGTGCTGCGGGAGAGAGCTGAAGCCAGGCGACAGGCTTTCCTGGCGAGGAGGGGGTGAGTAAGCACCTCCCTCTGCAGGGAGAAACCCTGGCTCTGCAGTTAGCCGGTGTTTTGCTGCTGACTGGAACTGTGGAGGCTATGCCTGTTCCTTACCATTCCTGTACGTCAGCGTCGCTGCCATGGCAGTGTTGACTTCCTCGCCCAGCTGTTACGTTGCTGCTGGTTGTGCTGTCCCATCACATGGGTAGGCATGTCGCTTTATCATACGCAGCAGAACCCTGTTCAGGATAATGTCTTGGAGAGCACGGCTTCCCAGAGCTTGAACAGCTCCCACAGGGATTTTGGGACAGTTTCGTAGCTGGCTTTAGCTGACAGACGCAGTGTGTAGGAGGACGCGGTCCTTGTGTGGCTGGCGCTGACACTCAGCTATTGCAGAAGCCCTGCAGAGCCAGGGTGAGCCAAGGCTGAACCGGTTGTTTCTCGGGATGGGTGTATTTTGTCCGCTGAGTGTGCAGTGTGCTGCTTGTGATGTCCTCTTTCTGTGTGCTCCAGGCACAAGCACGATGGCTCTGCTGTTGTTGGGAATGCGAAGGGCCATGGGCAGAACCGGGAAACGGTGCAGGAACGAAGGAAGAAGGAAGCGAACAAAAGCACAAGAGCTAACCACAACCGGCGAGTCATGGCTGACAGAAAACGGAACAAAGGCATGATTCCTTCCTGAAAGACTCTTGGCGCAGGTGTTGCATCATCCCCAGTCCTCCACTTCGCTTCGGAGGAGGCAGTGGTGCTCCGTTCCTTCAGGGGACTGGATGTCGTGGTTCAATGCCTGGCCCTTCAGCTCCTGCGGACTCGTGTGCCCTGCGGGAGGGCTGCCCTAGTCGGGGGAAGGAACTGCCCTCCAGGCAGAGCTGACTGCTCTGCAGTTTGTGGAGACGCGTGTGTGACGGTGGGCTGCACCGCGATGCGGCGGACAGGCTGCGCCAGCCCTTCGTTTCCTTTTGTACTATTTATAATTCTGAGAATTTTATTTTCATACTGGCTCCTTGCGCCCTCTCCGCAACTCCAGCGGGCTTCCAGGCCACGCAGTGGGCAGCTCTGAGAGCAAGGCTTCCCCGCAGCAGCCCCCACAGCTCTCTGCTCCGCTGAAATGCCTTACCCTGAAGCACAGCTTGAAGGTTGACGGGAAGATGCTCGGGCTATTCCCGTTGCCGACAGACCCCCAGGAGTTCAGGTGGATAAGACCTTATCATAAATTTCTGTCCCCCGAGTGAGGCGTGTGAAAACAGAACGTGCAAATAAATGATTTAAATCTTTTAGTTGGTGTTTCAGGCTCTTGCGAACCGTATTGACCTTTAACTCGGAGGAACCTCAACAAGCCCTTTAACGTGCTGTATCTGCAGGCAGCGAAATTCAGCTGCTGTTTTGTGTTGGTTTAGTGTAATGAGATCCAGCCACAGCCACTGAGACTAAAGATACCTGAAAATCAGGATCAGGGCGTCCTAGGCAAGATGGCAGTGGTGTGGAAATCGGAGTTGAAGGTAGCAGGGTCGGCTTCCCTGGGGAGCTGCCTCCTCGGCATCCACTTGTCACACTCTGCGAAGCGGAACTGCCCCGATCATCATGTTTGCTGTTGGGAAGGCTGGGAGCTAATAGTAAACAGCAGTTTGTACTTGCTGAGAGGACTTCTCCTGAGGGCTGTCTTTCGTTATGGAGTTGTTCCCTAGGCAGGGAGACACACAAATTACTGAGCTTACCCTGTAACCTGTTTGTAAGGCGCTCAGGTGCCGTGGCAATGGCTGCTACGCTGCGCCTGGACGAGCCTGGAGTGTCTGCCAGTAGCTGGTGATAAAACTGTTCCAGTCGCTGTTGTCACAGAGCATTAGCACGTTTTTGGAGCGCTGTCCCCATCATGGAGATGGGCTTTTGGGTAAACAGGCTTTGCTTGGTTAACCTGCTCCGAGGGCCGTCTCCCTACCACCACGCTCTGCTGGCTGGAGCAGGGCAGAGGTGCCTGTGGCTGTCACCCGCAGGCTGCGAGGACGAGCGGTGGGTTACGTGGCATTAGAGGTTCGGTTCCAGGCTGCGCCCCGTGCCGCCTTCCCGCTGCCGCCCGCCGCGGAGGCAGCGCTGGCTCGGGAGCTGCGGGGGG